TTTTCTATCTAATAATTCTTTTAAAAGTTGTCCATAAAATATCCAACAAATAATAACCATATAATAATAAAATTTAGAGAAAAATATCTTTGCCGTATATATGTAATTTCTGCCTGATATATTTAAAATATTCAATAAATGAGAAATAACTATATAATAATAAAATATATAGAATTACACTTTTGTCCATAAAACAATGTTTAAAATGTTGTGTTTCTATGTTATATGTGGTGATGATGATGATGATGATGATGATGATGATGATGATGATGATGATGATGATGATGATGATGATGATGATGGTGGTGGTGGTATCATAAATAGTGCAGAAAATCTCAAATATTACAAGATAAAAGGGTAGGTGTAACAATGACATTATATTAAGACCTTATTGATCTTAATAGACAAAAATAAATTCAAATTTAAAAAAACATGATTAATTTAAAACCTTAAACTATAAAACAATATAATTACTATTTAAATATTAAAAATTCTGATTTATATGTAGTGCATAAAATCTGTGTAGTTTTTTGTAAAAGAGAACATAATTTTAGTAAAAAAAATTGAAAATAAAAACAAACAATTTTAGTAAAAATAACTTTAAATATATAAATGTTAATTAATTAACAAGTCAATAAAAAAAAAACATTAAAAATTTTTTTATGTCAAAAAAAATTATTTTCCTACCATATAAAGTTAACTGGGATAAATATAAACAAAAAGAAATTTTTTTTTTGTATTTATTAAAAGCTAAAACAAAAAAATCTTTCAGAAAGTGTTGCACAATATTGCAGAGAATATTCTGCTCTATCTAAAGATGAAAAACTAATTTTTTTAAACTAATTTTTGCCTACACCAAATGAGCTTAATTATCATCATAGAAGCTCGTTCCATTATCTCATTTCAGCCTACATCATCTTTTAACATCAGTCGCTATTAAACTCCAACAATTCGCAAACTCCAAAAATTAACACCTATTCAAATGTATCAAATGTTGCAACATTTTGCAGAAAAACTTAAAGTCAATTTTAAAAGTGTTGTACAACATCACCAAAGAGGCCAAAAAGTTAAACAACTCCAATTAAATTAATTATTAAAATTACTTTTGATTTTACTTTGAAACTCTTTCAAATTTTATTTTATAAAAATTACAATTGTTATTATTATTATTATTACTATTTTTAATTTTTATTTGAGGTGCTCCAAGATGTCCTTACGGTCTTATCACAGAGCACCGCAAATTTTATTTATTTATATATATTATTAATTTAACTAGTTTAACTTTCCCTAATTATAAATGAAAAAGTAATTTTTTTTTCAGGTCAAATAAAAAACACCTTTTTTAAAAACTTTTAAAATATTTTTGGGTATATATTACTCTTACTATAGTTTACTCTATACAATGCCTTTTGTTCAAGCAATCTAAAATTTACAAAAATACATTCTAAATGTTTAGTACTGTAAAATTTAGTTGAAGAGAAAGGAATATATAGTACCTATCATACAACCTGTCTTAGTGTTGAAAAAATTATAAACTTCTTTACTTTTATCTTAGATAAATAAAGTATACCTTTCTGCAGCTTTCACAGGTACAGTACTCTTTTCAACAATAATTTTACTTTTTCTAGCAATTTTGGCAATATTTCTTGCAGCCGCTTCTATATATTTCAAATCAGGTGCTCTTCCTTTTCCAAGTCCATAGGTTTTAGTTGGAGTATTTACCTAATTATATCATTTTATTACAGTCATAATGCATAATTCTTTTTTAATTTTTCAAACATAGCATATCAAAACAATGCATACCTAAATCCACAGGACTGAAATATCCACATATATATATATATATATATATATATATATATATATATATATATATATATATATATATATATTATATATATATATATATATATATATATATATATATATAATTTATTGTTTAATATATTATATAACTTATTGATATAAATAACATGCAGCAAAATGTTTACATACCGAAATAAATATTAAATCAGCTTGTTCGATTGCTTCATTAATATTTGTTGAAAAAAACAAATTTTTTCCTCTACAAGAGAACACAACATCCTCTAGTCCTGGCTAAAAAATATCATATCAAAAACTGCTTTGATCACAAAATCATTATCATATTAAAATTGGTCAGCTTACAAAATGATAAGCTTCCTATAATTAAAAAAACCTAACTAAAATTGCAAATTTTTATATAGAGTTAACTTACGATATAATTAAATAAAAAATAATAAAAAACCTCATAAATTGGTAAAACGTTTGAGTTCCAAGCGTCAATTCGAGATTGGCTTAAATCGACGACGGAAACTACAATATCAGGACATTTCTGAGCTATAATGCTACACGTGGGTCCACCTACATACCCTGCACCTATGCACGTTATGTTTTTAATTACTACCATAATTAAAAAATACGTTAAATATATAAAAAAATAAAATTCAAATAAATTGCGAGCCACGAATACATTCGGTTTCACATCTGTGTTCACACTAACGTCATTTTTTCTATAATAAAAAGTATTATAAATTAATTAACCAAATGTTTAGAACGTGAAAAGTTAAAAATTCTTAGAAAAGTTTGTTGTTCAGGGGCTGTTTATTTAAGGTAACTATAGTTAACCCAAGTACTAGAGTTAACTAGCTCAAAATTGCACTTGTATGGGCAGTAGCCAATATAAGTGCAATTTTAGGTTTAGGCGATATCAGAAATAATAGGGCGTAAAGCTGAGTGTGAGAGGATCAAGAAACGTCAGTAAGAAATGCGCTTGGGAATGGGAATTTTAAGTGATCTGGATGCGGGTAATAAGATTCACTCATATTAAAATTAATACCTCAAAAAAGAAAAGAACAGTTAAGGTTATTTCAATAATATTTACAAAACTCATGATGGAAAATACAAGGGCTGCTACGTTAAATGTTTTAGATAGGGAATCATATGGTGTTTTGCAATGTTCGGAAAGTGCATTAAAAGAACTAAAAAATAAACATCCTGGTTCAAAATAATAGTTTACCATACGGTCCGTTACAAAACACTCCAGAATGTCTTCCATTCAATTGATGAGATAAGCATATTTAACACAACCTTGTGGAACAAAGTTTCTGCGGATGGATGTCGACATTCACCGTCAATTTCATTTCTGATAATGCTTCGTATCCTCATGTAGACGCAGCTTGAAAAATTAGCAATATTTTGGATTATTTTTACTTTTCAATAAATCAAAATACAAGAATCAATAACTATTCTAAATCCAAAACTTATCAAAGAAAATTTTATAAAATTTCAAAAGTTTACACACGATCAATAGTAGATTGGGATAAAGTACGTAAAGAATGGAATCTTGAAAACACAAACTCCACATATAATACATTTATAGATAGTTTTCTAAAAAATTATAATAATCATTTCCCAATCATAGAAAAAATAATTCAAGTAAGATGTTAAACTGTCCACCCACTCTAATAAAATTAAAAAGTCGTCAAAAACAAAACAAAAAATCTACATAAAAAAATAAAATAAAAAAAAATGAAGTCAATAAACTTATCTACCAAAAGAAATTATCGGGACAAAAAACACCAAATAAAATAGTATACCTGATAGAATTGTTGTAAATGAAATAAAGTACAACGAGAAAAATTTCTGAACTGGCCTTGGCTTTTATTCATCAACTTCTATCACAGAACATCTCGAAACTGCAAGTATTGAACTTGAAAAACTTAATTCTTGGTTTAAATCTAACAAATTATCATTGAATGATGAAAAAACTACGTTCTATTCCATTCCGAGTGTTGGTAAAGAAAAAAAAAGTAATCTATTTTTTTATTAACAATAAGAATTTTTAACAAAATTGTTTCATCTTATTATTGAAATAACTTTTGCATGGCATGTGTTGCAGAAACTGCAAGACATGCCATGCAAAAGATATTTCAATAAGAAGATCGAACGAAGGAACGTGTTTAACTTTTTAAACCGCTCGGTTGCACTACTTTTTTAAAAGAAGATTTAACACGGAGCGATCCCCTCTCTATGATATGGTACTCTTAGCACTGTGACAATCATAAATTTTTTAAAATTAGTGGGGTCTGAAGTAAAACAAGTGTGGTTAACAAAAAATTCTAACTTTCTTTGATTAACTAATTTTCTTGGTTGTAGTTTTCCTGCAAAAGTTGTTAACCTCTTCTGCAGGAAAACTACACGAAAAGAATGGTATGAATACCTAAAGGAATTTTCTTTGGGAATCTTTTTAGATATTGTGTAAATCAGTCAAAAAAATTGGTTAACCTTAATAAGGTAATTGTATTAAGGCTGGTAAGTCTTATGAACAATTTGAAAAAGAAAAATATTTATTTGGTTAACTCTATAAATACATCGTAAAAGGCATTTTGGAGCTGCATTTGGTTCAGAAGCGTATAAAAAGGAGTATTGTAAAGACCTAGAGAGTGGTCAAACGAACTGAACCATCTTTGCGAAATGGGTTTCGGAAGAAGAAAAAAAACTGCATTTTTTTATGTTAGAATTACGCATGAAAACTCCAAGTCCTGCAAAAACCAACCAACAAAAAAGAAATTTTGTTACCACAAAAAAGTGAAAAAACGCAAATATATGAAACAATTTATAGAAAGGGAACATGTTACATTTACTTCATTAATTTTTAGAACAAATAGTGGATTTAGAGATGAATGCCAACAATTCAAAGCACTTCTTTTTATTGATAAGAAGTGCAGTGATTATGACAAAGTCACTCGACATAAGAAATGCACAACAGTTTAATCTTTAAAGATCATCACTGCACCGAATCAAGCAGTCAAACTTACGATTTTTTTTATTTTTTTTATTTTTAGTTTACATTTGTTGTCATAGTTAATAAATAATTTGTACCAATACCATACAAGTTTTCTAAAAGAAGATTGTTTGATCTTATCGTCTAAATCTTTTAGCAGATTAATGGATTCAAGCTTTTTGATATAAATTTGATGTCTCTTGAATTGTACCAATTTTCTTAGAATAATGACAAGAATTAAGAATAGGCTAGAATTAACAGGGGACATCGAAACTTCTATAAAATTGAAAAATTCTTGCAATCAAGTATTCTTTGATGTAATCATCCGAGTTTAAAGTTGACGATGTGACAAAAGCTCGAGATCTCAAACCACAGCTGCATATTGCTTACCAAAATTTAATCTTTAAAAAACTCTTAAACTTTATACCTTTTTGCTTGTTCTCTGTTCGATAAGCCTAGATTTTGATTAATGATTGTCGAATATTAAAGTTGTTAAAATAATCATTTTTATTACGTTTTGGCAAGACCTTAACTGTTAGAAAGAATATTAAAAAAAAATAGAAATTTAATGTTAAACAATAAATAAATAAAGTTTGTCTAGAGTAAAAAAAAACAAAATATACATTCTATTCCTTTAAAAAAAACACGAGAGCCGTAAACCGTTCGATTTTTGCGGCTCCGGCTCCACCAAAAAACAGTGGCTCTTTGGCCCCACGGCTCCGGCTCCGGCTCCACAAGCCTGCAATAAATAATCAACAAAATAAAAACGCATTTTACAACAAAATTTTTAAAACAAAAATAAATTTTAATAATGAAAGGTATCTGACTACAACATTTGAGAGAAATTTTTTAGATTTGAAACGGAAATACCAAAAAATTAATTTACATGTTTTACACAAAAAGATCTTTAAAAATGGATAATGATAATTCATACATTACCGTCCGTAATTTTTCGAATGGTCATAACTTTTTCCACATACACTACCGTCCATAATTATTCGAATGACCATAATTATCAATATAAGATATCAAAGTTTTACTTACTGTTGGCATAAGAACTGAAGACAAAATCTACCTGAATTATATGTTATTTTCGTATTTATTAAATTTCATTAAATTTAGTATAAAACCCCATTAGATTATTTTACAATTTACTTGCCTATTTAATTACCCCCCCCCCCCATTTCACCTAGTGACAATAACCGCCATAGATATTTTTGGCATTCTCCATAACGACTTATTGTATTTGTCGAAGTCAATTTATGCCACATGATTCGACATTATTTTTCAACATTGCTTTTAATTTATTCTATAAAAGTCCTACAGGAGAGAAGTCTGGTGATTGGGGAAACCAAATCTTTCTATTCAATATTTGATCATTCTCTAACTGAGTCAACTTAAAAATGTTTTGAAAATTATGTTTTGGATTTAAGCTTTGGTTTGGTTTCATCTGAAAAATAAATGGTTTCCCATTAGTCCAACTTTCAAAAGGAAAAGTCTTACTTTTTAAAAATGTCCGAATAAACTACTTTTGTTATTATTCCATCTATTTTTACAATGCCATCTGATGCATTTCGACTAAAACAACCCCACACCATAACGATACACCTACCATGTTTCCAAGTCAATAATACACACTTATTTACAATACGCTTAACAACTTTTCTTTAAACTAATTATCATCTTTTGAAAACATAGGTTTAAAACTTGGACACGTAGGTATATTTCCTCGTTATAGGAAACTGAAAATTTTTAATATTAAACCAAATTTGTGGACTAGGTTTAAATTACCATATTTGATCATTTTTGATAAATTGGTATTTTTTGATAAATAATTTAAGTTAAAAATTTTATTTAGATGGCAGTTGCAAGAGTAATTTATAAAAAATACTTAAAGAAAATAAAATTCAAAAATTTAAATAATTTGGGGGTCTGGTTTCTACTGTTTATTGATAAAAAGTTTAGTACTTAAAAACGAGTATTTAGTTAAATTTGGATTTAAAATAATGTTAGTATAATAATATTGTTAAGAAAGAGTTCTAATAACTTGATCTTGTAACATATATTTAAAAATAAAAAGTTAAAATAGTAAAAAATGTTAATAACTTAATAACATAAATAAGGTTTTCAAACATATCATCAAAATATCTCTTTGGTTTTGAAAACATACGGTTATGAGATCTGCTTATATGCTCATTTGAACCACAATCTTGGCATAACTTTGGAGGATGCAAATGGATAATTTGGTTTAAAACACAAGGATCCGATCTCTCTAAAAGACGACTCATCACATCTGTAAGTTGTTCTAGATACGATGTCTTACGAGAGAGAAGCTTTAAATAGTTTCTTACATCTTTGTTGTTTGCTTCTAGACCTTCCTCTGATAAATTGCCAAAGCCATAACCATCATTAGGAATTATTAACTCAGCTGAATGATGAAGGACCCCATGAAGAGTGTGATTAACTTGTGCCCATGGCATATTTGTAATAATGTTAGGTGTAGTATTATTGCATAACTCCTGAAATTTGTCTATTTTAATTTTACGCTGACAAGAAACTAATCGAAGTATTACACTGATTTGAGAATGTAGTAGTAACATGCTATCTTTGTACATAGGAGAACATAGATCTTTTATGGTAGAAATTAACTCTTTAGAAAAAAATCTACAACCTTGTGACCCTGTTGTAGATGTTCC